TAGCAAGTGCTATGGCAGGGTTTTAGCAAGTGCTATGGCAGGGTTTTAGCAAGTGCTATGGCAGGGCATTAGCAAGTGCTATGGCAGGGCATTAGCAAGTGCTATGGCAAGGCATTAGCAAGTGCTATGGCAGGGCATTAGCAAGTGCTATGGCAGGGTATTAGCAAGAGCTATAGTAGGGTATTAGCAAGTGCTATGGCAGGGTTTTAGCAAGTGCTATGGCAGGGCATTAGCAAGTGCTATGGCAGGGTATTAGCAAGTGCTATGGCAGGGTATTAGCAAGTGCTATGGCAGGGTATTAGCAAGTGCTATGGCAGGGTATTAGCAAGTGCTATAGCAGGGTATTAGCAAGTGCTATGGCAGGGTTTGCTGAGGAGAGGACTACCTATACCTGTCGTTGTCACATGTGCAACACACAAAACGGTCTGAGAAAGTGCTGCACATGAGTGAGGCGGTCTCAACGTTTAACACAACTATACCCAAACCAACGCTCACAGTACAATGCTTCATCCTAAATCCCAGGGTTTTAGGGTTTAGGATCCTTTATCTCGCACTCTATTTCTTAAAGCGGCCTACATCCTGTGCGATGATTCACAACGTAGTTCACTGAAAGCCGCTGCTGTGCCGATAGCGAATCAGATGTGATCTTGTCGCATAGGCTTATCAGTGGTATCTGAGACCCAACACAACCCAACTCCTACTGGTCTCAGACAACTGTACAGCTCATCGCAGCACTCATACCCCTGGTTGACTCGTTCACATCCTCGGCCCAATTAACGCCATGCTCGATTTGGCTGGTGTGCTGCGGTTGGGTTGCTATGCCTACACAGTCTTGTTCTTTCGTCGCTGACAAGCTGCAGACTGTTACTGCGAAAGGCCGGCGTTAGTGTCCCTGCATAGACCGGATATGACTAGAACGGCCCTGCCGGGTATGCGACGGTGAACCTACATCGAACGGTTTGTCATAGCCATACGTTAGAAAGTATTGGAAACTGCGATAGTGGCGGACTAGAGACTATACGTACCGATAGTCTGCAGGAGATCACATAAGGCGACGGATTGGGTCTGAAATGTGCAAGGTTAGGACCCTGAGGGCGTGAGGCTTGCACTGAGAAATTTACCGAACTGATGAGATTTGGTTCTTAAGCACTCAATGTAAAACCAATGTAAAATCGATGACCTCCAGAGTTGGTGGGTACTTAAGTGAGTTACCTACAGCTACGGCTACAACAGTATGTCCCGATTTGTCCCGATTTGTCCCAATTTCAAAGACCTTCCGAAAATACTCTAGTACACTGCAGCCGCGAGTGTACTCTGCGCAATTCGCGGACATCTGTTAGAGATTTGTATTCGGATTGGTCCACTCAGGATCTTTCTATTGCAGCTCAGTGCCAGACACCAGCGGGTTCGTCTCACGAGGTGGATGACACCGAACTTCCAATCCGAACCTCAAAACATGTTATATGTACCTCGGGTGTCTCTAAGGCTGTCACAGAGCGCGTTCCTCTGCAGCGCGCGGTGAACCCTTCGGTAAGAACGTAGTACAAATATACGACCGCAGTATAAACAGGTACAAGCATGTGCAAAGCGTACTGAATGCCTCAACGACTCGCATGGTCAATACCAATGTTGTCAA